GTTCCCGCCACTGGGCCTCCGGGAAGCGATCCCGGAACAGCGATGCCAGGAGCCCTTCATCCTCCACCTCCCCGAGAGCCACGGCGCTGGCCGTGGCGGACGCCGACGGGCAGGACGCAACCGCCGCCATCTTCTCGGCAGCAGCGTCACTTCCCCCTCCGGCCCAGAGAGGGCGCTGACTCCGACCCTGGGAGCGGAAGCGACACGGTTGCGCGCTCTCTCACGGCGCACTCTCCCCGACAGTCCTCGAGGCTGGGGGGCGCTGGTGTGGGGAACCAATGGAAAGCGGCTAGAGAGGTGGGCTTTGGGGTTGCTAAGGAGAGGCTGGCGGCTGACTTCCGCTTCCGGCGGCTGAGGCACGAGGATCCGGTGTTCCAGCAGCGGGAAAATGCGGCCTTTGACTGAAGAGGAGACCCGTGTCATGTTTGAGAAGATAGCAAAATAGTAAGGGCGCGCGGGCCAGGAGAGGGAGGGTGTGTACGGTGGGAAGGGCGGGGGTGGAGTGGCGCGCAGGGCCCGGACCGGTCCACTGGGACGCGGCCTCCAGTCCTCCTGTTGCCTACAGCATCGGGGAGAACCTTCAGCTGCTGGTCGACAGGCCCGACGGCACCTACTGTTTCAGGCTGCACAACGACCGGGTGTACTACGTGAGGTGAGGAGGGCCCGGGTGGGGGCCTGCGTCCCACCAGCAACCTTATATGACCCTTGTTCTGCCTTCCCCTTTTATGACACCTCTTTCTTCCTTACCCTTTTAGTGAAAAGATCATGAAGTTGGCCGCCAACGTCTCCGGTGACAAGCTGGTGTCGCTGGGGACCTGCTTTGGGAAATTCACTAAGACCCATAAATTCCGGTTGCACATCACAGCTCTGGATTACCTCGCACCTTATGCCAAGGTTTGTGGGGTGGTTTCCAGTCGGCCGCTGGGGATGGAGGAAGTCAGGGATGAGGGCCACCTGAGAACGCGGATAATTGGGCAGCTTCTCTGCCACGGAGCCGCTGACAGTGCTTGGAATCAGTGCTAGCACGTGGAGGTGCTTGTACGTCTTGCTCTTTGGGTATGGTTAGGGCTCTGGGGCAGCAGTGCTGTGAATACTGGTTGTAATTATCTCCAGCAAAGTAGAAAAGCCTGTGCAAACCCAGCTGAAGATCGAAAAGCAAATAGGTGACTGATGAGGAGCATAGTGTGTCCAGAAAAAGAGCTGTTTAACTGTCCATGGGAGAATTGGCCTGTAGAGTGGAGGAAAGAACCTGGCAGTTCTGTTTAGGGGGTGAACACTTTGAAGGAAACATGCATCTTTGAAGAAACTAATAGATCCAGCAGCTAGCTTATCTGCAGGGATATAAGTGTTAGCATTTTTATGTTTCTTGGATTTGATTCTCTTTTTTTATAGTACAAAGTATGGATAAAGCCAGGAGCAGAGCAGTCCTTCCTGTATGGGAACCATGTGTTAAAATCTGGACTGGGTCGAATCACTGAAAATACTTCTCAGTACCAGGGAGTAGTGGTGTACTCCATGGCAGACATCCCTTTGGTGAGTACAGATAGTAGCTATTAGAAAAGTTAAGGATCTTTTTATTTTCAAGAACGATGTATTTTCAGTCTGTGGGCTGGAGAGATTAAATTCTGAGCACCATTTGAGTTTCTCAAAGAACTGTACTTTCTTTGTTATTTCCAGCCTTCGGTGTGTGCTTATTGAATGATTTGAGTGAATCACTGTTTCTTCTTTTGAATCCCAGGGTTTTGGGGTGGCAGCAAAGTCTACACAAGACTGCAGGAAAGTAGACCCCATGGCGATTGTGGTATTTCATCAGGCAGACATTGGGGAATATGTGCGACATGAAGAGACACTGACTTAAAAGAAATCATCGCAAAGACTTATGGTTGTGTGGAAGGGCCTAGCTTTGTTTCCTGTGTCTGTGTAGGCTCCACCATCATGTTGAATTTTGTCAACACTTTGACCTCTCCAGGGACTTCTTAGTTTAATATTCTCTCAGTTATGGACAAATGCAGGCTGGATTCTTATTAAGCAGAAATGGGTCAAAAATGGCATTTCGGATGTTTGTGTTTGTTACTAAATAGAATGTTGTGTTTTATATTTCAATTAGAGGGCTTCTTATTTTCAGGGAAAGGTTCTAAATCATTGGAATTGACAAGAATAGCTTATTGTTATCTGTGATAACACTGTTTTCCAAACTCATAAGAACACAACAGGTTTTTTTATTTATTAATACTATGAAAGATAGATATTGCAGTATGAGAATAGTAGGCCATGTCTAGGATTTTACAAATGAAATTTGGATAAAATATTAAAAGCAATTTATTCTGCTAATTTTCCTTATGGTAGGTGCTGTGTGGTTTGGAAGAAAACTTGGATTCTAACCCTAGTTTTTATACCTGCCAGCTCTATGATGCTTTAGATGAGTCATGAGTCATTAAGCTTTAGTGTGCTTCATTTTCTTCTGTTTCAAAAAACAGCTTTGAACATCTACCTGAGAATGGTTTTTGGAATTAGAAATCGTGATTGTAAAGCAGCTAGCACAAGGCCTGGCAAATGACAGGTGTGGAATAAATGGTAAGAACTATTTTTAGGTTGCATATACTGAGTGTGTCTGCTACTAAGAGTAGGATCTAATATGCATAATTTGATTATATTATTTTTGTTTTTCTAAGCTGTTTTCTTAGTCTTTCTTTACCCTGGATGGTAGGATCTCAGGTTGAATGTTATTTGCATCACCTTTGTTTCCTAAAACATTTTCCTTATGAACCTTTACTTACTTTACTTGACAAAAAGCACTAATCAGAGACCCAGAAATAATTTTCCTCCTTCATTCTCCCCCATGCTTCTCAAAATCATTTTTAGAATTATTAAAAAATTTTTTTAATGAAAAACATTTCAGAGAAGTATTTTTAAAACTATCTGTATTGAAAAACAGTGTCTCTAATGAATATACTATTTATTTTAGATTCCAAAGGTGACATCTCTAAAAATAAAACCCTTTTTAACTACCAAAAAAGCATTCTACCAACTCCTGATTTTGTATGCAACATATAAAACCCATATAAAAACTGGGTTTTATATGTTTTTGTCCTGTTTTTTTCAACTCTTCGCCCTTCCAAGGTTCTCTGTTAACCTCTAAATGGACTCTAAATAGGTTAAAGGACCACTATATGATGAACAGTATTTTGATGGTAGCATTTAGTGCATACTTTAGAAATAGCAAATGTCAAAACTTACACATTTTTACTCTTTTATTGCCATTTTGCCTCTGTAGATGAGGGCAATAGACTAAAACTTTCTAAGAGGAGAAATAGATTTTTCCCCCAATAACTTTACAAAATTGATTTAACCAAAGCTTTGACAAGCTTCTGCCCAGAGGAGGCGCCAGGGCACTGTAGTTATTTTAGCTTAGCATTTTGGCTTCTTTGTGTCTGTAGTCGTTGGGACATTGAAGAGACGCTTCAAGAAATGCAGTTGCAGGATCCCAGAAAGAACTATAACAAGGCTTTGGGCCATCGACCACCAGTTCACATAGTTATAGTTTGATTGGAGAAGGAAAAAGTCAGCCATTTTCCTCATGCGGGCAAAGTTGTAGTAACGCCACATGTGAAAGATATTTTTCTGTACCTTTCGTGTACTTTCCTGTTGGACAGACAATGAGATAAGGAAAGGGCTCCTCCCTGCCTCCCTTCTAGCTTCCCCTGGGTGCTCACCAGTACTAACCTAAGTTATTTGGAAGTTGAGTAACATGATTTTGTGATAAGTAGTAAGTTAACTATTGTAGTTGTTGATAAATGGTAATTTTGCTGTATATGAAGAAATGGCCTGGACTTAAGGTTAATTTTTTTTTTTTTTTTAGTGAAAAACTTCAATTTTGAAATTAGAGAACTCTTCCAGGCATCTCTAGGTTTAGATACGCACTCAACACATCATTTTCCTGAGTAGTATCTTCAGCTCTTGTATATGATAGAAGACAAGGGCCTGCAAACTTACAGAGCCAGATAGTATAGTAAATATTTTAGGCTTTGCAGTCCTACAGTCTTTTACAACTACTGAACTCTGCCATTGTAGCACAAAACAGCCATAGACAATATGTAATTGTCAACTGAGCATGGCTGTGTCCCAGTAAAACTTCATTTACAAAAGTAGGCAGTGGACTTCAGTGCATCGAGATGACTACCATGAAAGTGCAAAGGCATCCCACAGAATGGGAGAAAGTACCTGTAAGTCATTTATCTGATAAGGAACTTATATCCAGAATATATTAAACTCTTAAAGCTCAAAAAACAAAAAGACAACCCAATTTTAAAGTGGGCAAAGGATTTAAATAGACATTTATCCGAAGGAGATATTCCAATAGTCAAAAAGCACATGAAAAGATGCTCAGTATCATTAGGGAGACAATTCAAAATCAGAAGATACCATTTCACACCCACTGGGGTGGCTAATAAGACAGCATGTTGGTGAGGATGTGGAGAAACTGCAACCCTCATTCACTGCTGGTGGGAGTGTAAAATGGTTTAGCCGGTGTGGAAGACAGCATTTCTTACAGTTAACCAAAGTCACTATATGACCCAGCAGAGTACACTACTTCTATATACACAGAAATGAAAACACAAAAACTTGTATACAAATGTTCATATCATTATTCATGATAGCCAAAAACCAGAAATAACCCAAATGCTGTCGGTTGATGCTTGGGTAAATAATGTGATACGTTCATACAGTGGAATATTATTCAGCCATAAAAAGGAATGAGATGCTAATGCGTGCTACAATGTGCATGAGCTTTGAAAACACTAAATGAAAGAAGCCAGAGATAAAAGGCCACATTGTATGATTTTACTCACATGAAATATACAAAATAGGCAAATTTATAGAGACAAAAAGACAAATGAGTGAGTGCTTAGAGCTGGGAGGCATGGGGAATGGATAGTGACCAATGGGTATGGAGTTTCTTTTGAGGGTGATGAAACTTCTAGAATCAGATGCTGGTGATTGCTGCAGGACCTTGGGAATATGCTAAAAACCACTGAATTGTACATTCTAAAATGGTGAATTATATATAAATTAAAACAAAACAGGCAGTGGACCAGCTTTGGCCTATGAGCCATAGTTTGCTAGTCCCTGGTATAAAACAAATGAGGAATTTCAAGAGCTCCAAGTCATAAAAACTAAAGGCTTCAAATCCCTTTGCCTGTTTGGTTTCTACCCAAATGAGTGCTCAGCTCAAATGATATTACTCCCATATTTTTAAGCTTTTCTCCAAATTTAAAATCAGTTTCCACAGATGTTTCTCTCCCACAAAACAATTACCTCAATTGCATCCAGAGTATCATTCATTTGTTTTCTTTCATTCTTCTGTTTGTGGTCCATCTCAGGCCCTTCATAAAAGACTCCAAAGTTGAGGTACACTTGCACAGAACCAAAGTGATTTTGCTGATTTTTTAGACAAAGTTGATAAAAACCTGTAGGAATCCTTAGATCATTACCAAGTCTTGGTCTCCCACCCTTTGTTTATCTTTCACTCTCTAAGTTTGAAGATGTCTGTTCTCCAGTGGTCAGTATACTACATTAGCACCTTTTTTTTACTTAGCAAGTACAAAGATCCAATTTCTGATCTTTGAAAGAAAGACACCCATCTTACATGAAACTTATTTTACCAAATATTATTTATAATAATTGTTTTGCCAAATATTACTAACTAGTTGTATACTGAAAAGAAAACAATGTTTCCTCCCTCTTTTTCAACCTATTATCTCTTATTAAGGAATTTCTCAAATTGAGTTGAAATTAAGAGCTGGAGGATACCATCTTGAACTTAAACTAGGCAAAAATTGATGTGCTGTGAATGAAACTATCCTGCAGGTGTAACTAACTGCAAGGTGGTCTGTACAGGGACTGCTGGTTTTGGACATGTACTGGTGCTGGTTCTTGGCTGGGGTTCTCTCCCCTTGTGAGGGAGTGGGGGAGGAGCGGGATTAGAAAGGCATGACAGTGTATTTGTCGAAATCATTGGAAGGTACTACTGGCATGTAGGGGCCAAAGATGCTAACTATCCTATAATGCTGAGTATCCTGTGCTACATAATGAAGGATCATCTTATGCTCCTGTTGAGAAAAATCTTTTTTTGTACACCTGACTGGTAGAGAGTGCTGCTGAGTGGCGCTGTCCCGGGTGGGGACAGGTTCGATCTGGCTATGGAATTTTCTGGTGACCGGAGAAATGCTTTGTTGGGAAACATGGATATTTTTCGTGGCCGTGTGTTTCCTCTTGTTCTGAGTCTGCTTTTTGGTAACTGGCTTAAGTATTCTGGTGACTGGAAAGAGATATCCTATAATAAATGTATTGGAATTCTGTATCTTAAATGGGTCTGTTTTGGTCACTATCCCATATTCTGGTCAGTTGCAGATGAGATAAAATTGAGCTTCTGGACCCTGCAGTTGTAATTAGTCACCTGGAGGCTTCCCCCACACTGCCAGTTGACTGCCACGTAGACTTTGGCAGGCAGTCTCCAGGAAAACTGGTTGTTGGTGTTCTAGGCTAAATTTCTTTCCTACTGTTTCACCATCCGTGTGTGAAAAAACCAGGGTTTTTACATCTTAGGTTCTTAATTTCAATACTTCCTCATTTTCCTAATTTAAAAGAAACATTATTATAATAGCTGTGGTGATTAAAAAAAAACAAAAAACACACACACAAAAAAACAAAAAAACCCAGACCTGTCTCATGGGTAGCGAAGTTAATCTGGCCCCGAACATTCTGAGAGGTTTCTATGAGAAAGCCTTGTGGGGTATGTGCAGTGGCAGCAATATGCCGGTCATGTGACATTCCCAGTGTCCGCTGAACCTGCCAAGACACATTAAAGAGGGAGAAAAGCCCCTGGTACATCACCAAGAAGCTAGGTAAGTGGTAAGATTGACTTCCCGTGTGGTTCTCAGTCAGAGACGGTACTACACAGCCCCTTCTGGGAATCTGGATTGAGAAAACAATGGTGTCAGCCTGGGGTGAGGTGGGGTGGGGAGGGACAGCAAAGCTGAACATCCTGCCATGTTAGAAACAGTACTGCAGGACAAAGAACTGCCCCAAATGCTGATAGTACCCATGTAAGGACGACATGTCACAGACCCTAAAGCAAGTGTGTATCGGTTGATGTGTAAGATTCTGGCTGTAGAGTTCTTGACTGAACTAGCTTGGTTTTGAGCTCCCTGGTGTTCTTGCACACACGGGCTTACTTCATGCTTGACAGCAAATAAGGCACTTAATAGGCGCTTATTGCCCAGCTGGGTCTTGGTAAGGCCAGGCTACAGTGAGCTGAATATAGCTACTCTTCTGTCACAATTTAGAGATAAGGCTCTGATAAGTTCATTTAAAATAAGTTTTAAGTTATAGTGAAGTCAATATACATAACCTATTACTATGTAAACAAAGATTAGAAAGTTAACAGGTTTCTAAGATGAAGAACAAATGAAATGAACAGCCTCTAACTTCACTATTGAGCAGACCATCCTTGGACCTTTGCTGTAAGATGGCAGGATGGATGAACGTACCTCGCCTGCGAACAGGCAACTTGAAAACATTTACCTTCCTACAAACAGGACTGTCTAGCCGAATAGAGAAACTTGAGCCAGTGATTCTCCAGTTTGCCAGAATTACCCCCAAAGCAAGAGAGTAAATGCTCTCCCAACCCAATCAACTGAAGTGTCTTTGAAATCTCTGGGTCTGTCTCTGTTCGGGTGACTTTCCATATCCGTATTATTTTAATATTTTAAAAATGTACTTCTCTTCCTTCTCATCTCCAAATCCAAGTAAACATGATGATTGTTTCTCCAGGAAAAGGCACCCCGTTTGTCCCATGGCTTTGCACACACTTCCATTGCCCCCAATTTGAGAAGCCAAGCAAGCCATATGTTAGTGATTATTCATCCATCAGGAGTTTCCATCTAACTGCAAGCCCATTTCATTAACAGATGGAGAATCACAGCATACAAAGACAGCCAGAACCTCGTGTTACTCTAGAACTTGACCCACTTTACAAAAGGAAACAAAAACCAAGTGCCCTGTATGGCCAGAGGAGCCCAGTTACCTACCTCATAACTGAAATAGAAGTATCCAGCCTGGTGGGCAAATTGCCAAAAGCATTCTATCCCTCCTGGAGGGATCATGATGGCAAAGTCATAGCGATCTGCTTCCCGGAAGAGTGGCTGGTCCCCAGAGCCACTAAGGGGTTCTGTTTTCTGGCTCCTGGCAGGGGTCACTAGGTTCAGAACCACTAGTCCAGCCCCAACAAACAAAGGGAACATGCTGGTTCCTGGAGACTCCTCTGCAGGTGAGCTGCCTGCAGCCCAGTGGAACCAAGCAGTTTCGACAGCTGCTGGGGTAATCATTAACTGCATGACTCTCACGGGCGTTTCAGGGCCACACAGGTATTCCATAATAGACCGGCGTGATACCCCATGCTTCCTCACAGGAAGTTTTCGCTTTCACCTGAAATACTCAGGGGCTTACCAAACCTGCTTCAGGGGCGCTAGATAGAATGCTTCAGAAGAGGTACTTCCATTCTTCCTATTGGTTGTCATTTTTTAGTTCTTCCTTCTTGGGGATATTGTTTATTTACAGCCATCTGAATATACAGACAGAAGTTGGCTGGGGACATTTTTCTTACTCATATCAAATTGCTACATGATACCTATCGCTCCAGTAAGACACATGGGGCAACATGTTTCAGTGGACTTCTGCCCAGTGCAGATCAAAGCCCATGAGAGTGTGAGCAAAAGACAGGAATGGACAGAGATTCCAGCTGGCACAGGAGGGGCCCTGAGTACCTCACACTCCTACCTACCAAGACAGTGTTTCTGTCAGCCTCTGAGTAGTGCCAATGTCTAAATGTTTTTATTTCAGCCATAAGCTTAAAAAACAAAACAGCATTAGCAGCTTCTAACCAAGTCTTACTTCAGACGCATCGCATTGACTCCAGGTGGCAGTATTTGAACTATCACAAGCAAACAGCAAAGAACAGACTTCACAAGTGTGTTCAGTTCAAGCGGACACCAAATGATGTCACAGCACTCTGGAGCAAAGTGGCTCTGCAGCAGTCCCACTAAGGTGGAGGTGGGAGAGACTGGGGTCATTTCTTAACACAGTGGCACAGGCACCCCCACCCGAGTCCCACCACTGCCAGAGCTTTTGCACTACTCATGTCATGAGCAGCGACTTAGATTGAGCCAACCAGTCAACAGGACACGGTAAGTTTTCTAGCAACCCTAGGCTGTTTTTTGTTTGTACACATTTTAGTAACACTATGACAACACTGAAGTTATGTTTAAAAATGTTAATGGACCTGTGCATTTTCAATTTTGAGAAACACTGATTAGGATATTTTGGTTCCCTAAATGCAGCGCAGTGTCTCTCTTCTACCCAAAGAGGCCATCTTAATGAGGTGAGAGTGAGGGAGAAAAGCTTCTGGATCAGAACTCAGTTTAGAGGGAGGCCACACTAGCTGAAACCAGATCAAGAGGAGGTAGCTGTATTGAGAGATCAAGTTCTCACTGTAGTTTCCTTTGGGGTTAATTGACAGAAAAACAGTAGTACCAAACCCCAAAACACGTAGTTAACAGGTAATTAAGCTGTACAAAGTTTCCAACTTGTAACTACAAGATAAATTTGAAAACTTTAGCATTTCTTTACATCCTTCATTCAAAAGAGAAAACGAGTGCGACACGGCTTCCAAGGATTAGAATATCCAATACAGTTTGACATCAGCTTTTTAACAGTCAATGTGGCTCAGCAAAATTTGTTTAACATTTTGCTACCTGTGTGATCCTCATGCTGTGCTGCAATTAAACAGCTAATTACATTTGAGAGAAGCAAGACTTTAATGAAGAATGCTACAGGTTATGGACAATAATTAGTTCTCAAATTTTAAAAAATGATTACAGAAAACACTTTACTGAATTTTTTTTTTTTTTTTTTGCTAAAAAGACAGTCTTTAAGGATGTCCAAGAGAGACAGCAAGCACAACACAGTACAAAAGGAGAAGGAAATGTTGAATTCCAGTGCAAGACACTAACACAGCACAATTAAGGAGTCAGGTGGAAGCAATCATTTCACAAAGAATGGAATTAGGCATTTATATTCAATCAGGATTTTTTTTAAGCTTTGTAAGTCCAACGTAAGGGAATCAGGAAGAGAGAATTGGGGGAGGGGCTAAGCATATCTACAATCACCAAAGAACACACTGGTTTAACCACATAAGTGGAGGTTAAACCTGCCTACGTAGCCCAGCAAATATGAAGAGCAAATGCCAAGACTAGGTCTAGGTGTTGATGTCATAACAGGCTAAACAGTTTTTAAAGGGATCCAGATTCCACCAGGACTGGTCTCTCATCAGCCTGGGCTCTGACAGACGAAGTTCCTTTGCATTTGCACCAGAAGGCTAAAGTTTTACCTGGAACAAGTTCACTCCAAATAATGCTCATGTTGCTGGTTTTAGCAGGTCATGGAGTCATAAGTGCTCCTAACAGACTCCACAGTTTCCTAGGAGAAGGTTCTACTGATTACCGGGGATTTAAATTCAAGCAAACCACTGAAAAAGGGAAATACTAATGATATTCTGGCACTGTACAAGCTGCCTGCCTGTTGTCTCTGCCAAGGACATGGGGTAGACTTGGCTTTGTCTTTCAGCTCCATGATCTCCAACAGTGATGAAGTGGAACTGGGACCTCCTCCATGTCAGAGGAGGATGCCCAAAGTTTTCATCCCAGCCCAGCTTCTGAAAGAAAGAGCAGACTATTGGGGCTATTATTAGGAACCATGCTCCTGTGAATTCTGTGGAAATGAAAGCTGTTTCAGTTCATGCCAAGTCTTTTCATGGTCCGCCAGCGATCCTTAATCATCACAGCTGTTCGGTTAACAAATGGGTAATTTTTAGAAATGGCAGCCCAGTTTCCTTCCCCAAATTTCTGCACTCCAGCCTTGATCCACTCACTTTCTTCTACAGTCCACTTCTGCAAAAGAAAACCAAAAGATTGATCACAACCTGTCTACTTACTCACATTTTCATACAGTGAGGAGGTAAACGCAAGAATTCTAGGAGAATAACCTGAACCCAAAAGAAGGTTTATATTTTTAAAATATGATACAGTTAATAAATTAACACTGGACTTGGACATTTAAAAATGTCAATGTCCTGCCATTTCATCTTCAACTAATAATCAAACTTGTGCATTCAAACTCCAAACATGTATTGTTCATGGTCAGGAAAATGTGTCAGGTTTTGGTCCAACTAGATTTTTCTTCCAGAGGATAACTATAGTAAGTCCTCATTTAATGTGACTTTAAGCAAAACGACATATAACAAAACCAATTTTACCATAGGCTAACTGATATAAACAAGAGTTAAGTTTCTACAGCATTGCCCCGCCAGCATGGCTCAGTGGTTGAGCATTGACCTATGACCCAGCAGATCGCAGTTCGATTCCCAGTCAGGGCACATGCCCAGACTGTGGGCTCGATCCCCAGCAGGGGTGTGCAGGAGGCAGTAGATCAATGACTCTCTCATCAGTGATGTTTCTAACTCTCTCCCTCTCCCTCTCCCTTTCTCTGAAATCAATAATAAAAAATTTTTTTAAGTTTCTACATTATCTAATCAACATTAAAACAACGTTGAACAAAAGGAAGCTATTCGAGGACCTGCTATATTTAATTTCGTTTGGATTGTCAGAAAACACAACTTTTTGCCAGGTGCATGGGTAGTCTATCTGTTCTATTTTACCTCTGTTCTACCCACATAACCAGAAAAGATCAGAAAAGAGAATTTTAAATTACCTGCTTTTTTGTTATACTGGCTGAACTCTCATCATCTGGAGCTGCTAGAAAACATTAAAAGTAGACTCATTTCAGAGTTTGCCTTTCTCTGCACAAACCACCAGAAAAACACACAGAACATCCCTAAAGGAAAAGCTTGATTCAAATTTCACAAACTCTGAGAAAAGACATTACTAAAGGATAATTTGTTTTTGTCCTTTGTTTGCAAGATATCAATCATTTCAGCCTATGAAAATCTGTATACAACAAATACTTAAAAGGCATTCAATAAATAGTGGTTAATGATGGATTTGGGGCTCTTTAATAAAACTAACATTTTCTAAAATTGCTGAGGGACTGTGGTATTTAAAACCCTAATATATGCCCTGGCTGGTGTGGCTCAGTGGTTAGAGCGTTGGCCTGCGCACCAGAGGGTTGTGGGTTTGATTCCCAGTCAAAGGCACGTACCTGGGTTGCAGATTCAATCCCAGGCCCTAGTTGGGGTGCATGTGGGAGGCAACCAATCGAAGTGTTTCTTTCACATTGATGTTTCTCTCCTCTCTTGCTCTCTCCCCCCACTTCTACCCTCTCTGAAAATCAATAAAAGACTATCCTCAGGTGAGGATTAACAAAACAAAAAACCTAATATATATACATGTTTATACATATATAATTGCTTTATAACCCTTTGCTTGCTAACCATTTTTTTGAAATAACAGTTTTCCTGTTTCATGCCAGAATTTTCAAATCCCTGATCATTTTATATAAGAAAAATTAGGTTCAATTCCTTAAACAAAAGAACAGGGTAATAACATGGCTTCCCACACCAAGAGATCATGTGAAATCTGCTCAAGCTCCACCCTCTCACCATAGAGAAAGAGATTATGCCTCAACAAACAATGACCAAGATAATTTTTTTAAGGGCCAGACAGCTACACAAGCATAAAAGACATGCCAATTCAAGCCAATGAGAGCTAGTTAAAAAGCTGCAAGAAAAGGCAAAGTTGCATAAACATGAAACTTGCTACATGTCTCAGTAGATGCCTCTGTCCCAGCAGTGCTTCCGAAACAATGGAGGACGGTGGTTTAGGGCAGATTATTTATTTTTAAATTATGAACTATTTCATATTATAGTGGAAGCCAATTTCTAAGGCTGACAAGTCTGGACTGCACTGGAAGTGGGTGTTTCCTAGAACTTTTATACCCTGTTGTTTTTAACTATTTAATGCCAGTTTTTTATTTTATTACTTCTCCCATTTTGCCTGTGATCTTGATCTTGCCAACTACGTTTTTACCACTGAAGTTACTTTTTAAAAACATAACCTAGGGATTGGCAATGATTAATGCTGTGTGTTATAAAAGTGCTTAGCATCCCCAAAATTAAGGTTTAGCACTTAGATATTCCCATTAGAATACAAATATGTGGTGGGACAGAGTCTAATGCAGATGCTATGAAGTTCAGTAATTATGGAAAAGCAAAATTTCTCATCTTAGAAAAAAACATGCAGAAACTGGTAAGAGATTTTTTTACTTAAACAAGAATGCAGGGAATGACCACTTCTACCTTTCCTAATTGAAAGACTACAATTAAAGATAGGATTTATTAAAACCAAACCAGGAATTTTCTTTAAATACAAAGTGCTGCTTGGACAGTCTCCATGGTTTAATGGGAAAGGACATAAAACTGACTCCTCGTGAGTCACAATGAGGAACTTACTGGACTTTTCTAGCTGGGAGACAAGCAGTGCCTGGAACACTGCTGTGACAGTGACATGCATCTTACACGTCAGCAGGTGCCACGAGACCAGGGAGAACCTCCGGCTTACCCTGAACATCAAACAGTTCGTCCTCCTCCGCCCAAGTCTCCTTCTCTTCAACCCCGTTAGAGCTGTTCCACTTGCCCTTGGGTAGCCTGAGGAGAGAGCAGGGAGACAAGGTGTGAAACGGTTCGTCCCGGGTCATCCCAGTCTGTCCTTGGCTCACTTGCAGCCCTGTATTTCTTCTTCCGCCGTGACGTTTGAGATTCACCTACACACAACTCCCAAATCCAGACCTGGCCAGGTACCTCCACATCATCCCGCCCAGGCTGCAAGACCACCTCTCAAGCTCAGCACTGAGGATGTCTCCATCCCTCAGAATGTTTATTTTTAAGGCTCTCTGGTTATTTTGCAAATGATTAATGAAAGCAATTTGCTTAATAAGTGCATAGGCTTGAAAAAAACTCCTTGAGTTCCCTGAGTTTTCTATGAAATTATCCAATTAAATGGCTGTACTGTTTACTTTCCTGTTTTTAAATTGGATCATATCCCTCAAAATATTATTTCTGAGAATAACTAATTTGAGACAAAGTAAAGCATGTTTTTCCTTCTCAGGATATTAGTTGTGTTAATTACTATTTATCAATGAAAGTTAGAAAGCATAAGTTTTCTACCTACTTATCCTAGTGCTGGGATAAAAATGATTTTAACCACTAGGTCTGTCATTTTCACCCAAGTAGCTGTTCCCTCTTCCTGCAGACAGTCTTTGCAGATCAGCGGTAACCTCCTGCTCCTCCTCTGAACTTGGCATTTACTTATGTGTGCAAATGTTTTGGTACTTCGTAATTTCTCATGCTGTGGAAGGGGCTGAGATCTGGGTCCTCATCCTGTTAGTGGCTGTGCACTCGCAAGCAAGTCAGGTCATCCTCACTGGTGAACTTGGAATTTGATGAGCAGTGGTCTAGAAGGGTTGGCAAACTACAGCCTGTGGATCCTGGTTTTTGAACAGTCCTTGAACTAAGAGTGGATTTTACATTTTCAAAGGGTTGTGAGAGAACAAAACAAAAAGGAACATGCAACGGACACAGAAGTGGTCCGCAAAGCCTAAAATGTTAACCTTTTGCTGGCCTTTTATAGAACTTTTACATGTAATCCCTTAAATTGCAAAAACCAATAATTATTTTATTTGGTTAATAAATACCCAGTAAGCACTTGTTCGTGCCAAGTACTATGTGGGATATAAAAATCTAGTCAGTTGTGGCCCTGCCCTCCAGGTGATATACCCCAATCCTGCCTTCCCTTCCTCTTCCACCAGCCCAGCATCCCCCAGGTTCTGACTGCTTGCCTGGCAGTGTCTGGCCACCCTCCTCTCCTTTCCCTCGGTGCCTATTCAGAACCCTCAGTGGTGTCGTATCAGACCTTCAGACTAGTTGGGTTCAAATTATTTGGGGCATAGTTAGAAAAGCAGATTACAGAGCATCCCCCGGCCCCTTCTAATTCAGTAGTCAGGAGCCTGGGAATATGTATTTTGTAAACATTCTACAGGTAATTTCGACATGAAGCCTGGTTTGAGAACCTCTGCCTGATAGAATAGGAACTCAAATTCTGGCCTATTTATCCATCCAGACTCTTCTCCCTCTCCTTCACCCTCTGTGCACTGTATTCTCCTGCCACACAGACTGACATTTTTTGGAGCATACCAGGCTTTCTGATGCCTTTATGCAAGGGGTTCCTGCTACCTAGGACTCCTAGCCTCCCAATATGCTTGATGACCTCTTATCTTTGAAAGCCAGCTCAACGTTGCTCCTCTGCAAGGTTTGCTCCACCAGTTCTGCTTAGCAGGCTCAGCTCTTCTTCCCTGGAGCTCCCAGGGCCCCTCACACACACTTCATTTAGAGCCAGGGTTATGGGACCCCTTTTTTATAAAGGGCCAGATAGGATCTTATGCTTTGTAGGCCTTAACTGTCTCTGTTGCAACTACTCAACTCAATGTAGCATCAAAGTAGCTGCAGATAATACATAAGTGATAGGTGTGGCTGTGTTCTAATAAAACTTCACTTTATTTACAAAACAGGCAGCAGGCAGATTGGGCTTAGGGGCCGTAGTGTGCCAACCTCTGCTTTAGAGTGTCCATCATACTTCCTACCCTTGGCACACGAGAGAGGTGGTTATGTCTGAAACCTTCACAAATCCTCCCATTAATAAAACCACTGTAGTCATGCACTCTCTGGCTTTCTCAGTTCATGGGACAATACCTACACTTCACAGGATCACTGTAAAGAGTCAAGGAGATCATGTATAGACTGAGAAAAAGTGTGTTGAGCTGCCTCTGCTTGCTCGGCCGTGACTCGCTCACTTCCAAATGCAGGTAGTGGTGCATATAATGCACATTAGTGTCTGAGTATAAGTCACCTATCAGGTGCCACACCCTGCAGGGCACCTAGCACATGCTGCCAGAGCACAGGTCCCCAAACAACTACAACAGAGAGCAATGGTAGAGATGGCAATGGCCTCAGAGAGGTGATCACTTACAGCAGGGTGACCAGGGGACTCATGGAGGCAGAATTTTTAAGAGGCAGCCTGCTCAGTGAATGGTGTACAGGCCATGGGCCTTTGAGTCCAGATTGACCTGGATTAATAATCCCACAGCCCAACTTTGCCATTTTTCCGCTGTGTGACTTAAGGCTAGTTAATAACTTTTCTGAACCTTCCTCATTTATAAATGGGACTAATAATAGATCACTGAGGACTGTAGAGATTCAGTAATATAATACACAAATATACTTGGCCCACAAAAAGTGCTTCTCTTCCCTTTGAAGGACGGACGGGATTCTGACAAGCAGTGATGGAGGGAATGATAGTCCAACCGCGGGGAGTGACAGGGAGCAAGAATACAGTAGTAGAAACAAACAGTGTGTTCCAGAAAGAGCAGGCAGACCAGTCTGCCTGGAAGAAGGATCCACAAGAGAGCACAAAGGTAGCAAAACTTGAAAACCAGGTCAGGGGTCATGATGGGGAGCAAAATGAAAGTTTTCTAACAGCTGCTCCACAGAACCTAGCAGAATGTGAGAGATTAGTAAATATTTACTGAATCTGCCAAGTCTCAACAGCTCATAGAAGGTGCAAAGCTGTAAACTCTTAAATCTCTAGTTGGTAGTCAAGGTACTTAGAAGTCTGCTAAAAATGAAAGCAGCAATGAGTAGGAGGCTCCGAAACCCTTCCATCCTCACTCATGCCCTAGTGCAATGCCTGGAAGCCCACATGTGGGGCTTCAGAACTGGCAGGGGTGGCTATGTCGTCACTCCCCACTCCCGAGTCACATTCTAGCAGTCTGAGCCAGCCTTGGTGGTGAATAACTTAGTTGAAAGTTACTTCATTCACAGAAGCAATATCAGGCCCAACCAGGACCACCAACCAGCCCCCAAACTCCTACAAAGGTCTTCATACTTGGGATTCTTCTCCCTGGGGAGGGGTTGGTTGAGAACTGCAGGCTTGGATGGCACCGCTGGAATGACTTCCTGAGAGGAGCTGAGGCCTGGGCACAGCTCAGAACTCTGACTATCCTCCTCCAAAACCAATCTGCTTATTGTCATACGCTTGCTCCTGGGCTGCAGTTCAGAGCCACCCTCTCCCTCAGCAGGGGCTGAACCTTCGTTTTCATCTCTTCTCGGTCTCTTGTTTTTGAGGGCTGGCGATGGCGGGGATGCTTTATTGGGAAGTACCAGATCTTTCTGGTCCAATTTCGAGAAGACCGCCTCAGAATCTTGGGAACTGCACAGAGTCTTGAAAGCTGCTTTCAGAGTCATAATTCCAAAGGTGATTGGAGTATTCCGTGGCTGCCTACAAATAAGGCAGACATACAAAGATCAGTTTCACCATTGTTGATGCTCATATTAGCAGAAGACTCCTCAAATTGAAGACTTTTCATTTAAAAAGAGAGAGAGGTTGCTTGATACCACTTTTATTTATAAAAGCTTCCCTTTAAGTTGAACTATGGAGTTTAAACTCCAAGTCAGAGAATCTTAAAGGAACTAGGGCTAAGGATACTCCCTCCAGACACCTCTTTAGCCTGTATGCAGTCAAACCCACTAGTCTGTATGGACAAAAGCAGTGTTCTCCCTTCTGTAAGCACTCTGCATAGTGACCAGCAAGTACAAGGCCATCTGGACAACCTCTTGATAATCCAGCAATTTCACTGAAGACTAAACTCTTCTTCCAGCTGTCCCAGTCCAACCCTCATGTTACAAAAGAGAAAGACTGGTCTCCATTCTGCCCATTTTCTCCTACAATACACTTGTGAATGGGATCTTGAGAATTCTCAGAGTTAGCAGCATGCCACACAGTCTTGGAATAAGAAACTGCCTTTTCAAAATGAAGTTCATCTGTCATTTGGAACAGCTAGTATGCTTTAAGTAAAAACTGTTAGGGGAGGGCAAACTGGCAGCCTATAGGCCAAACCCAGCTGGCAGATGTCTTGTTTTCTAACCTATGCAAGTGTTTTTTAAAACTGGATAAACACCAACATTCAAAAATTGAAAAAGCTAAAAAAAAAATTTTTTTTTAAAATGGACATCTCACACAAAAATTTGAACTGAAGTTTGGGCATCCTGGGATAGTCTCACACAGCAACACAAAGCTGAAAAGCATGCCCTCTCTAGTTCAGAGTCCCATGCTCTCACTTATTCTAGACTCACTGCATTCCTCTAAATTTTCTACCAGGCCCCAAAGGCAACTAAATTCGTGACCCCTACTTTCACAATTGGTCTTGGGAATCTGATGCACAAGTCTGAACACTGTATTAGGAGGTAAGACGACAAGGAAGTGCTGAATAGATATGGACGAGGTGGAGAGAGATACAGGAGGAAAGAACCTTTGAGGGACAGCCAGTCAGGAACTTCCCTCAGGGATCTGACATCCAGTCTTCAATACTCTAGTTTTCCCAGGGTGTGCTGTCCACCCACAGTGCCTAGTATAAGTAACCCAGTAACATGTTAGGGAGTCAAATCACCAGGAGGAATGAACTGATCTTGCTCTAAGGAGGAGACTATGCTTCCAACAGACCACCCCAGTGTTTCATCCAAGATCACAAAAGGGCATCCCTCTCACCTCGCAGGTTCTCTGGGTGGCTTTTCCACAGGTTCCGGCACTGGCTGTTTATCTTCCTTCACTGTAGTTGAGGCAGCAGACTCATATTTCAAAGCCTTTTTGGCCATCTGGGAAAGGAAGGATGTCATCAGGAGAGGAAGCCACAGAATTTCATTAATTCTCTTCTGCTTTAACCATGAACATACTCAATATGCAAACATGTTCACCTACAATCCAATCTAGGCATAAAGTAAAGGACATAAAAAGGAAGAGAACTTATAAGAATGATCTCATTTCTTCCTTCTTTTTCAAAAAATGGTTCACCGTTTCTATACTGAAGGAGAACTCAGTTTGAGTAGTGCTAACTACCTTCACATTGCAAAAATTCTTTAATTATGTGATTTTACTTCCCATTTCCCTTCCATACTTCCAGTCTCATCCCTAATCTAGTTTCTGAATCCCAAATACACCTTTGGGGTCATGTATAAAAGCCAAACTTTTTTTTCAAATTTATGATAACTAATGTTTATATTAATGTCTTTTAGTTTGTGTATAGAATTTTTATGATTATATTTCCACAAATATGTTTTGCCTTTCAACAACTCTGAAAATCCTTACTTATACCACACATAAAGCCCTGAGTAGCCAATCTTCTCTAACTCTGTGCTCATCTGTCTCCCTCTGACTGAAGTTGTACCCATTTCCAATCAGCCCAGTATATTCCCTTTCAGATGTGTATCTGTATCGAGTGATGTCTTAAGAGCTGAGAGTTCTATCCTCACACAAATAGTGGCAGGTTATCCCCCAGTTACCTGGAATACAAAGGAAAGGACCCTAGGCTAGCACAAGTATCCTGACACTAACTCCTTAATTATTCCAAACTATCTGCTTTACAAGTAACTTGACATTTGCTAAATGACTGCGATATAAAAGCCTTGCACATCTGTTGTTATGAGCCACCTTTTCAATACTCTCAAAATCCTGGCTTAGTAAAAACCCCCTCACTCAGTTTCCCCTTACCACCGGTCCACCTTCTAGGAAAGACTGGGTTTTGACTCTTCTACTAACTGTCTTGAGCCTCATTGTTTCCCTGCTTTATGCTTATCTCTTTGATCCAATTAAAGAATGTCTGCATTTGGCTCTTCTGACTTATACTTCTAGTCACACCTTTTCTCCAGTTATGCCTTCTTCCTGTTAACAACCCCATCATACTATAGCTAATAAACTACTCTTCCTCCCAAATTTAACTATTTCATCTCCTCTGGGAACCACCATCAATTTTAAGATGAATGTTCTCCTGCTTTAACCACAACAGATTAATGACATGTAGAGGAGGTAAAAATGGGAGATAAGGGAGATGAGTTTTGTTCCATTTGCCTCTGCCGCGATCTCAGCTTCTGTATATTTAAGGCATTTAATTAAGGAAGATAGTACATATAATTCAGTCTTTTCCATACATTTACTGTTGCACTTCTAAAAAGAACTGTCCTTTTCTAATTGCCTGCACATCCTCAGGGCATATCATGGTTATGGGAAGAGAAGGCCAAGGCCCACCGTGAGGAGGTAGGGCTCTGCATCATCCAGGTGACTCTCTAGGAAGCGCAGCATCTTCTGCTGGAAGGTCTCATAGGAAAAGTTCTGGATAACAGGGTGGGCCAAGTTCTTTTCACGGATAATGTTCAGGAGATCATTTCTCAGCTTCTACACAAAGGACCAATATGAGCAACATGAGAAAAGAGAACTCTAGTAAAAATTCAATGATAATGAGTTGAAACAACACTGTTGGAAATTTCACAGCACTCAGTGAAGACCACTGGTACACATACAGGAAGGAAGCCTACCACAAAGGATAGGTCAGTAAATGATGGATCGCCACAATGAGTTACTATACAGCTATAAAATAATGATGAAGAACTTAGGATCTAAAGTGCCTTTATACATTTACATAAAGATTTTTAAACTTAAAAAAAAATCCCCAAAACACAAAAAGGATAAAGAAGCTCCTTATGTGCTAATATAGAATGACCTCCAAGATACAGTAAGTAAAAGAAGCAAGTTACAAAAATTCTCAAATTAGTGTGTAGAACATGCTCACATATTCTTATGGGAATAACAGGAAGAATGGATATATGTGTATGTCTGTATATACACACACGCACTTATTTGCTTACATATACACAATATCTCTGAAAAGATAAAAGCAAAAAATACTGGTTGCCTCTGGAGAGAGGAACGAGATGGCTAAGTCAGAGATAAGAGAATTTCACTAAGCAATTTTGCTGTACTTCTTGAATTTTGTATTATGTACATGTTACCTTTTCAAAAACTAAAATTTAAAGGGGGAAAAATAGGATACCAACAGAGCTTTTGACACCAGAAAACAGAGGAGTTAGTCCTTACAAAGGCAGATTCTTAAGTCTACAGAATCAGCATTTATGTAAGTAAAGTCAGAAGTGTTATAAAACTTGATAGCTTGATACCTGGTGCTGATCATTTAAGTAAAGTTCTGTCACAAACCAGACAAAAATGGGCAAGGAAACAACTTATGTAAATATATCTAATAGAAAATAAAATTTTAAGAGCCAATCTAACAGTAAGTTATCCAGGATATAAAAGACAACAAGCTAAAGCTGCTGAATATTAAAGATGCATATTTAGGTAACATTCCTAACAAAGAACCCTTTCCCTGTTTTCCCACAAAAAACAATGAAAAGGATTTAAGTCTTACAAGCAAAATATCAAATTTACCTGAGTTGTGGGGTCCTTGGACATATGTTTTTTCAAAATTTTTGAAGCCTTTTCAAATTCTTTATTTTTGATACAAATAATGACAGCCTACAAAAGGGGGAAACAAACCTTTAACTGTTGTAATAACAGGAGTAATGAGAATATCAAATATCAAAATACACTGTACTAAAAAGTAAAACTGAGTCTTATATACCCAAGAACTTTTTCACATTCTATCAAATTCCTATACATAAAAACTACCAATTATTGTTCAAGCCGTCGGTATGAACAACTGTAAGCTCTTTTTCCATGTATAGGGTGTAGATTTTCAGCATTACATTGGATTCTCTTTTTTTTTTTGACTGATTTCAGAGAGAGGAAGGGAGAGGGAGAGAGAGATAGAAACATCAATGATGAGAGAATCATTGATCGGCTGCCTCCTGCACCACCACTACCACCACCACCACCGCCACCACCCCACCCCCGACCTCTGGGGATCAAGCCCAAAACCTGGGCATGTGCCCTGAATGACCAGGAATCAAACTGTGACCTCCTGGTTCAAGGGTCCATGCTCAACCACTGAGCCATACCAGCCGGGCTACACTGGATTTTTAAAAAAGATGCCTGCTATAGCAAAATCTGATCCCCTGGATTATAGACCATTTACCCAAATAGGGCCTCCTAAGGAAAGGCAAAATGGACTCAAGTCATTCCAGGTCCCCAGAACAATTGGTGGTTCTTTTTAGATGCAAAAGCTTTGATGTAATGCAGGGGGTGTGGGGGGGTGATATATTGTGGGGAAAAATTGCTGATTACAGAGTTCTGTGCTAGTTCCATTCAGGAAAGGCCTGAGGCTAGTTCTGTAGCACTAACACAGCCTCTCACTACCGTACACCCCAGCTGGCAGCTCCAGTTGAAGTGCGCAGGGAATTACTGAGACAGACAACCCCAGCTCATCCACAGGCAGCAAGGAAAGAGGACAGAGTTCTAGTTAGGATGACGTCTTATCAGCCAGAGAAAGAGTCCTTCAGTTAACCCCCCCCCCCACACACACACACACACAAGTCCCCAAGAGACTGTAGCAGAGGGAAATTAACAGTAATTGAAAATTAAAAAGGATATTTTAAAAACATGCATTTTTTTTTTTTAATTAGTAAGGCCAGGGGAAAACTGGGAGCACTTAGAGTTATCTAATAGGATAAAGTAGCTACTTTAGATCCTGTGTCAAGAGAGGTATCAGACATTTCACATACAAAAGGAAGAAAAATTGATTTCAGTCTTCACAGGGAAGAATTTAAGGAGAAACAGATTAAGAGTAGGAGGAAGAGCAAGGGAATTTATTAAGTACTGATCTCTGGTGATCCTGCTAACATGCTAAGCACAGCCCCACAGGGCAAACTGTAGTCAAATGCTCCTGAATGTACAAGCCTAAGTTCTTGCTGCCCAGGAAAGGTCCAAAATAAGTCTTTTCATTTTAATCAGATGGCCATATTCACTTTTACATCATTTTCAGCACAAAAACTAAACTAAAACTATACTTACTTTCTTGAATACAAAGGTTTTAGTAAAACCTTTTTACAAATCAGTTAGGTCCTATTATGTTTTTAAATTTTATTTACCTTGCATATAGTAAAATTAACTTTTCTTGGTGTACTGTTGAATTTTAACACATGTATTGCCTCTTGTAACCACCACGATACAAAAATCAGATACAAAAACCTCCCTTGTGCTGTCCCTCTGTAGACACTCCATTCCCCATCCCTAATCTTTTCAATGTTTGGGCTCTTCAAGAATGTCATAAATGGATTCAAACAGTATATAGCACCTATTTTTTAAAGGACATAGCCTTGAGACTGGCTTTTTTCCCTTAGTATAATGCCTTTGAGGCCCATCTATGTTGTTGTTTTATCAGTAATTCCTTTTTTATTGCTGAGCAGTATATCCTATTGTATAAATCTACTAGTTTACCTAACATTCATCAATTGGGGGACATTTTTGGTGATTATGAATAGAGATGCTAGAACATTCATGTACAGATTTTGGTGTGAACATAACTTCATTTCTCTAAGTTAAACACCCAGGAGTGAAATTGCTGGGTCATATGGAAAATGTATGTCTAACATAAGAAATAGCCAAACGGTTTTACTGGGCGATTATACCATTTTACGTTCCCATCAGCAGTGTATGAGAGTTTCAGTTGCTCCACATCTTCACTGGCACTTGTTAGAGTTAGTAGTTTTTAAAGTTTAGCCACTCTAATAGGTAAGTCCTAGTATTCATTATGGTTTTTACTTTGTATTTCCCTATTGACTGATGTTGAGCATCTTTTCATGTGCTTATTTGCCATCTGTATCTTTGGTGAGTCTTTTGCCATTAAAATAGGATTACTTCTTTTCTTTTGAGAGCTCTTTATATATTTTACTTTTTATTGAATTTATTGGGATGACATTGGTTAACAAAATTATACAGGTTTCAGGTGCACAATTCTAAAGTTCTTTATATATTTTGGATACAAGTCCTCTGTCGGATATAAGATTTGCAAATATTTTCTTCCAGTCTGTAGCTTATCTTTTCTTTCTCTTAGCAGCATTTTTCTCAGAACACAAGTTTTAAATTTTGATGAAGTCCAGCTTATCAATTTTTCCCTCTTCTAGTGTCATATCTAAGAACTTTTTGCCTAAGTCCAGAACATGAAGATTTTCTTTCATGTTTTCTTCTAAAAGTTTTATAGCTTTACACTTTACATTTAGATTATGATCCATTTTGAATGAATTTTTGTATGAGATGAGATTTAGGCCAAGATTCATTCTTTTGCATGTGGACATTTGTTTCAGTACCATTTGTTGAAGACTATCCTTTTTCCATTGAATTGCCTTCACGTTTTTGTAAAAAATCAGCTAGTCATATTTGTGTGGGTCTATTTCTAGACTCTCTTCTGTTCCACACTAATCTACATGTCTACAGTCATGAGTACTGTAGCTTTACAGTAATTCTTAAGATTGGGTAGTGAGTCTTCCAATTTTATTCTTCTACAAAATTGTTTTAGTCCTCTGCCCTAACATTTTAGAATCAGTTTGTATCTACAGAACATCCTGAGATTGTGATTGGAATTATATTAAATCTATAGGTCAACTGGAGAAAAATGACATCTTAACTATATACTATAAAGTCTTCCAACCCACAAACATGGTATGTCTTTCCACTTATTAGGTCTTAATTTCTTTCATCAGCATTTTGTATTTTTCCACATACAGATCCTACACGTTTTGCTGGACTTACACTTAAGTATTTTTCTTTTCTGGAGCTACAGTAGTTCCCCTGTTATCCAGTTTTGCTTTCTGCAATTTCAGTTACCCATGGTCAACTGCGGTCCAAAAATATTAAATGGAAATAAACAATTCATAAGTTTTAAGCTGCATGTTGCTTTGAGTAGCATGATGAAATTTCAAGCTGTCCAGCTTCACCCTGCCTGGGACATGAATCATCCCTTTGTCCACCGTATCCATGTTGTACATGCTACCCACCTGTTAGTCATGTTGCAGCCATCTCGGTGATCACACTGACGGTCATAGTATCACAATGCTTGCGTTTGAGTAATCCTTATTTTACGTAATAATGGCCCCAAAGGACAAAGTAATGATGTTGGTAATTAGGATATAGCAAAGAGATGCCATTAGTATATATGCATAGGAAAAAACATAGTATATATAAGGTTTGGTACTAGGCAAGTTTTCAGGCATCTATTGGGGGTATTGGAATGTATCTCCTGCCGATAAGGGGGACTGCTATATTGTAAATGGCACTGCTTTGGTAATTTTATTTCAAATCCTTTACTGCTAGCATATGGAAATATGATTGATTTTTGTGTTGATCTTATTTATACATGGTGATAGCATCTGCAAATAGGGACAATTTTATTTCTTCCTTTGTAGTCTGTTGCCTTTTATTTCTTTTTATTAACTTACTGCACTAGCTAGGTCTTTTAGTATGATGTAGCATGGAGGTGGTAAGAATGGACTCCTTGCCTTGTTTTGGATCTTAAGGACAAAGCAGTCATCCTCCACCATTAAGTATGATGTTAGCTGTAGGGTTTTTTTATAGATGCCTTTTATCAGGTAGAAGTTACCTTTTATTCCTAGTTTCTGAGTGTTTTTATCATGAATATTGAGTTTTGTCAAATACTTTTTTGGCATCAACTGATATGGTCATGGGATTTTCTTCTTTAGATTAATAGGGTAGATTACGCTGATAGATTTTTAAATATTGAACCAGCCTTGCATTTCTGGGCTTTAGTTTCCCCACTGTGCCACACACTAACTGCATCTGTATCCAGTGCTAGGCAGCAAGATGTACAGTGAAAAAACACAATGGAATTTGCTCCAAGTTGTAGGAATCACAGCTCTACTGCTAAAGAGAAAAGAGGTTCTCTTCCTTCAGTTTTAGGTGCCTGCTCTGCTGCCGCCACTATAGTACTGCTTGGGTGCTGGAGCAGAAGAGAAGGGAGAAAAGGAAAACACAAAAAAATGGAATTTCTTCCACCCTCTCTGATCCTTTGGAGATCTCTTTCCTGCTCCTAAGACCAGAGAGAACCTCTCTTAGAGTTCTTTCTGTTCATGCCTGGACTGCACTTCCATGTTTCAGGAGCCAAGTTCAGGCTGAAGATACTGGAGAGGGAAAAAATGATAAACTACTCATCACCAGTTTGATAGACTTTCAAATTCTGGAGCTCTTCACCATCTGCTTTACTACCATTTACCATTTCTGAGTCCTCAGAGAGCTGTTCCACACATTTTGTGCAGGACTTAATAAGGGAAGCAGAAGAGAGCATCCTTAATCTATCCCAGAACTGGAACATAGGTCTTACTATATTTAACTTGTTAAACAAGAAAGGAAATGCGAATGCTTTCAAAAATCCTAAAGTCTGCCTCCAAAGTTTGTGCTATGAGCTTATCTTTTAAAACTAAGTATTAATTTCCTGTGAAGATTTCTTTTAAAGAGATGAACCACTGTTTTTCACTTGAGAATGTTCAGAAATAAGTGTAACAACTTCTTTCATGTGTCTGTTAAGGTTCTTGGGGTGTAAGCAGTGGCAATGGTCAACTAACTTAAACAATTCTAAGCACAGATTTTCAATAGAGGTGAGACAGATGCACAGGAAGAGAAAACCAAACTCAAAGTAGTGAAGAAAGGCTAAAGCAAACTCAGAAAGAATCCAGTCTGTTATAAGAAGCAGGCATGCTCAAAGCCTTAACAAAGCTTTGTTTCAAGAATTAAACTTCTAGGAGAGTGTGTCTGATGCAGCAGCCCTGCAAATGGGTTAAAGCACCAAAAGAAAATCACGGTGCCGTTACCAAGGTTCGGGGAGAATGCTGCAACAGCAAAAAGCAACAAGTAAGTGCTTCCCCAACAACATGCAATATATGTTATTCTCTCCTGTTTTCGACAGAAATCTTAACTGAGGAATGTCTTTTTGAGTTGTGAAGAGAAAACCAATGTAGTCTTAGTATCATTAACAGCTTACAGAAGCAGTTCTCAAACTCTTTGGTCTTGAATTCCTTTATACTCTCTTAAATGTTAATGAGGAGCCCAAAGAGCTTTTATTTATGTGCGCTATATCTGTTAATAATCACTGTATTAGAAATATAAAACTGAAGAAATTTAAAGATATTTATTAATTTGTTAAAAAATAACAAACTCATTACAGGTTAACATAAATAACATATCTTTATGAAAAATTACTATATTTTCTAAGACAAAAGTTTAATAAAAAGGGCGGCATTGTTATACATTTTTGCACATCTCCTTAATATCTGATTTAATAGAATAAAGATGGAGTCTCATTTCTGCTTCTGCAATTACTCTGTTGTTTTGGTTGTAGTAAAAAAAAATAATAAATCCGGCTTCACACAGATAAGAAGTCGGAAAAGGGAGGAATATTTTAATAGCCTTTTCAGAAAATTATGGCTATACTTCTTCAACTCTACACCAGACTTTGGCAAGTGAGCTTTTAATCACCTGTTACATTAAAATGTGTTAGTTTATCTTGTACTTTAAATGGATCTTTTACCCACAAATGATTCTGTAATACAATGCATTAATCATTTAGAAAATATTGGTTTATCCAATTATGTAGATCTTCAAAATACTGACCCATTCATTAAAAATATTTTTAAGTCACAGTTGTTAATACCACCATCATTGTATATCAGAAAAGTTGAAGAATTAGAAAGCTAACAAGCACATGAATACAAGTTTTCCAAAACTCTTTCACTTGAAAGCTTAAATTTTATCATCAGTAACAAATACTGTCAATGGTTTTCCTAGAAGTGACAAGTTCACTTTGTTCTTTCTCAAGAAACTGACTACCAAATACCCAGCATTTGTCAGTTCTTTCAAGTAAAAATGGTGTTCCATTAAAAAGGCAGCTTGGTAAGCCTGCAACTCAATCACACAAGTGCTTTCCTGAAGACAACCATCATGTTTCCAGCAGAAATGCTTTAGGCAAACTTTCTATTTTGTCATACAAAATAGTGAAAAGATGTTTGCTCAAGGGTCTAGATTTAATAAAATAATTTTTACTGCTTACTCAGACATTCTTAATTGAAACTGAATTTTTTTAACTGCACGCATGTGACAATGGAGAATACAATGACTACTAGTACAATTTACCACTACCTTGATCATGCTAAGGCACCAGCAACTTTACCCATCACTGTTTTTGCACCATCAGTGCAAATATCAATGCACTGAAAAAGTCAACGTTTTGGCATTGTTATGAAAATTGTTTTTGACCCATTAAAGGGTCCTAAAGAACTGTGAGAGATCCCCAGACCATATGCTGAGAAGATCTAACTTAAAAAATAACTCACCTGATAAACTTTTTAAAAAATCTAATATACTTTTAAATAAATTATCGTGACACTTTACAAAGCTTAAAATGCACCAAAAAGCCTCACTGAGCCTTGGCATCCCAAGGTATTTTCCCTATGACCACTAACAGATTCTATGACTTGAAATGAGAAATGGAAAAAAAAATTTAAAAAAATGAACAGACAAGTGATATAGTATCACTTAATAACTCGGAGATCAAGATGATTTTGGTAGCCAGACTCTATGATGGGCACCAACGATGCCTATCTCCTGCATAGTCCCATTCCATACACTAAACCAGAGTTGGTCTGGTCTATGTAACCAATAGCATACAGCTGAAGTGATATGTTACTTCTGGGATTAAGTTATAAAAGTGCAGCTTCTGTCTTGGGCTCTTGTTCTCCTGGATCACTTGCTCTAGGGAAAGCAACCTACCATGACGTAAGCAGCCCTATAGGAGGCAAAGAGCTGAAGTTGAAGTCTACAGCCAACAGCAATCGAAGAAGTGAGTCCTGCTAGCTGTGTGAGTGAGCATGGAAGTAAATCTTTCAGTCCTAGTTGAATCTTGAGATGACTTCAACCCTAGTAGCCAGCTTGACTGTAATCTCATGGGAGACTTCGAACCAGAAATACACTGGCTAAACCACTACCATACGCCTGACTCTTGAAAACTTGAGAAAATGTTTAATGTTTTAAGCCGCTAAATTTGGAGATAACTTGTTACACAGCAGTAACAGCAATACAGTTAAGTATAACAAGAGATCCTGTACCTGGTGGAAAATGGAAAAGCAGAGGGGAATCAACATAAGAAAATGGTTAACTATTTTAAGGGAATTTAGATATTATGAAGATTTTTCCTAATGAAGCTCCTAAACAAAAGATCTATGAACTTAAAATAATACACAGTTGAAAGATGAAAGCCCACAAAGATTCTTTCACAAAACAAATCTATAGCCCTTGTGTTCTGAAGTTGTATTTCTGAATCACCCAGCTACTAAACAGCAGTTACACGAATTAACCTCACCTGGTGCCATTTCTTCCCATTCAAAAGCTACTCCCTTGCTAATATGTCTTTTCTGGCATTTTCCCTCTAACACAAACCTGACTTATTAAACCAAAATTATATCCTTGGAACTGGAATTATCTAAGCATTCTTTGCAAGAGAAAAAGTAGTTCCTTCCAGTGTCCTTAACTGAATAAATATCTGCACCTCACACACATTAGTTGTTTTTTGAACAGGGTACCTGAGTACTTAGCACACAGCCAAGGGACAGAAAGCCTTCATTGCTAAGCAAGGCTTTATCCTCAGTGCCCCATCCTATCCTTTCAGGGGGTGTTCTCTTTTTTTCTTACCAATTTCCTTACTTTCTACCATCAAGGCAATGCTGAGCTGTTGTTCCTCAGTCTCCACCTCTGAATCTGCTTCCACATCCCTAGTCTTTGTTATTGGAGAACAAAAAGCTTTTTCTTACTGGTTCCCATGGCCACTTCTATGTTTGAAATAAAAATAAGTTCTACTACTTGAAGCTACCTGAGCCATAATACAGTCAACAGTTCCAAATTCCTAGACACTCCACTAGCTTTTTCCTTGTCAAGAACACTACCTGTGGAAGCCTTCTACCATTACTGTTTTTCTAACTGGCTGATTATCACAGTACCTCTAAAATTCTGTCTATTCAAGGGGAATGTTCCCTAAGCCTCTTTTTCTGTAATTGCATGAAATAGCTCAAACTCCCACATTTCCCAAAGCCCCAGCTCTTCTCCTTGGTTTATCATAAACAAGGGTGACCAAACCAGTCACTTCTAGCCCTTCCACAGTTCTCCTAAATGGCATGCCAACCCACTTCCTATGTATTGTGGCACCTCCTGCCAGGGCCACACAGAAGACCAAAATCACAAAAGCTGAGCACCTATCCCTTAATAGTTCTTTCCAAGTCTGGGCTGAGAAGGGGTTGCCTAAGAGATAACATCTATGTGTATGTTTGTGTATATTCATGTATCTGAGTGTGCTCACTCTGTCTCTTTCCAATATTCTTCCTCCACCCCACACAAAGATAAACATTGTACCCTCAAAGACCCCTGATTTTTGTTAAAAGAAAAAAGAAAAAAAGAGCCTTACAGCCTCCTTGACCAGTTTTCTACTGGATTCCACCACTGCCTCTGTCAGTGTAAATTCCGTTTTAATCATCTCCAACACATTGATAGCTGATTCCAGGGGTGTGAGTTCAGCCTCCATATCAAAGGAACAGTCTAGGACAAAGAACACAGTTTTCACTTTAAGCTATTTTCTGCAGAGCAGAAAGATTATGTCCAAAAATACATATATTTATGGACAAGAAACATGCAAATATAGTGAGATTTGCATTTAACTGCTCACTTACTTGCTATAGGCTTATAAACATGTTAAGAGTCCAAATTCAAGTCAATGCATTTGAAATGACTTAATTTTTAACACAGGTAGAAAATTATTTTTTAACACATGCATCTCAAATTTCAGGATACACACATCCTCCTCAGATACAAGCGGCCAGAAACTGTAGACTGTTTTTGCTAAACAGCTATCTAGTTCAATTCAGAAAAAAAAAAAAAAAAAAAAAAAAAAAAAAAAAAAAAAAAAAAAAAAAAAAAAAAAAAAAA